GAAAGCTGGCCAGATGCCCAAACATTGATCACTTCCTGTAGCCCTTTCATGCAGTCAATGACCAAAAGCGCCCTCTTTGGCCTCATGAGTGGCATGTAGCATGTAGCCTCCTGTAGCTCAGTTGGTAGAGCATGCCGCTTGCAACACCAGGGTTGTGGGTTCGATTCCCATGGGGGGCCCGTATGAAAAATGTATGCACTCACTAACTGTAAGTCGCTCTGGATAAGAGCGTCTGCTAAATGACAAAAATGTAATGTTATTAATAATTTCATAATTAATAAATATTATTGCATTTAAAAAAAGCAACACATACAGTATGTCACAGTTTTGTTATATTTCAGTCTTCTGTGATGTATATAAAGTGTAATATTGGGATGCAAATTCAAAATTGAATACGTTTCAACTTTATATCTGACATGGTACAGGTCACTTCTTTTTTTTAAGCCAATAACCATGTGTGTGAGGTGAATACTTTTTGTTTCAAAGTAGATTTTTTAAAGACTACCAATAATTTTTTGCCCACTGATTTTAGCCCCCTGCAGTAAAAGGTTAAAGATTACACTGGAGAGACACATCTGAAACATGTAGAGACACATCTCAAACCTGTAGGTAGATCAGATACAAAATATATTGTTATAGCTGAGAGCAGGAGAGACAGAGAGGGGGAGAGAGACAGCGAGAGACAGAAAGAAAGAGTGAGGCAGGAAGAGGGAGAGATATTTACTGAGAGGTTATGAGAGAGGATTAGTCACAGAGAGTGTGTATGTGTGTGTGTGTGTGTGTGTGTGTGTGAAGGGAGCTATGGAAGCTGTGCCTTGTCAGTAGCTTCCTGTGTGCCAGCCAAGCCCAGTTAGCACAACACAGCACAGAGGAAGAGCCTGACTCCTGGCCTATACAAGCCTGGCCTGCCTGTCTGTCCTGCCTCGGCCTGATGGACACAAAGCCCCCGTCTGTTTACCATCTGATTTGATTAGCATGCACAGCAGAGCTCCCACTCTCCTAACAAAATGGCATCACGGTCCACAGCAGCATGATCTGCAGACAGCAGCTTGATTTCATTTTCATTTCTCCCTCGCTCTGTCGAAAACGCAAGCAGCCGGAGCGACTCTCATAAGAGTTCATTTGAGTTCATTTGGGTTTAGAATGCATTGGACACTGTAGCTATAGCTATAGGGCCTGGTGTTCTGCTATACAGTTCCATTTCCTATATCTACATATAACGCAGTGAAAGGCGACTTTGGCTTTCTAGCGGCTTTTTAGTAATAACGTGTAATAAACTTGTTTTAAAAAAAAAAGGGTAATAAACTTGTTATTAACTTGTATTGGTTGCTACAGGCTACAATACTTGTTGTCTAGAACCTTCAGGACAAATTATATTTGTAAAGTCTGATGTTGGTTGGCTGGTCTGTTGGGGTGTGTACAGATTTAGGATCTTAATTTGATCACTCTTTTGTTGTTGAGTATTTTCCTGCACAGCAGGAAACGCAAACTTATTTTTACAAAAAAGGCTTCTAAAGTTTTCTCTTTTGTTGTTGAGTATTTTCCTGCGTAGCAGGAAATGCAAATGTGTAGTGTATTCAAGGTTTAAAAAGGCTTCTAAAGTTTGTAATTTCCACTTTAAAATGTCAGACTTGATTTGCCCGAATAAAAAATGTCCATTCATTAAAATCCACATAATAATTCACATTTCCTGTTGCTGCAGGACTATTTTCCTGCTGTAGAAAACTGGCTCAGATTTAAAATCCTACATCTGTACATATAAAATCCACATTGGAACCTGTTGAACGAAGAGTGTATCAGTGTTGTTTTCTCAGTGGTAAGTTATTATCCTAAAAACATGATATCAACAAAACATCTACAGGATCAGAAAGGCATGTGTGTAATATGAAACGCTCCACCACTGGTTGAACCAGTCAGCGTGGGTCTAAATAACAGTCTCTCTGTCTCCTTCTCTCTCTCTCTCCCGCCCTCCCTCTCTCCCTCCAGGCTTCCTCAATTGAAAGACATGGATGATATCCCGGTTGCGTCAAAAGCACCCCTGCTTGTTGACAGGGAATTGCCAGTAAGTAGACACATTTGATTTGCATGTATAGCCTGCGGTTTATTTGTCTGTGAAAAATGGACTTGTACGTTTTAGTCATTAGCAGACGCTGTTATCCAGAGAGACTTACAGTTAGTGCATTCATCTTAAGGTAGCTAGGTGAGACAACCACATATCACAGTCGTAAGTACACGTTTCCTCAGTAAAGAAATTATCAGTAAAGTCAGAGCTAGTAGGAAAAGACAAGTGCAAGTATTTATTTTGATACCATGTCAACAACAACCCACTGGCCCCTGGCCTTTTCACCCACTGAACTGGCATCCCAGAGCCCCTCCCTACCTGGCACTTGCTGTGGTTGGCACTAACACCACAGCACCTTACACTGTACAGTACACTACAGTCCAGGATACTACATACAGGATGCAGCCACAGAGCTGCTGCAGAAAGGGACATCTGCACTAATCTTAGAGGCTCGACCTGTCGCTTTACCCTATCACCAGGCGTCTCATGTCATTTCAACTTTGTTATTATATGACAGCTGAACTCCATAGATGAATTATGTCTGTTTAGCATGTCAGGAACGGTCTGAAATGTGTACACTGTACAATGAAACTGGTCCTTATGGATACAGAAATTAGTTTTTTACTTTAACTTTATGTAACCGTTCTGTTTCTGTCATTTCTAGGGATTGAGAGAAGCTGTAGCACAACTCGTGATAAAGGTATGTCCCTATGGTCCACACTTAGATATCCATAAAAATCCACACATGTTCACATGATCCACGTGTTTCAGTGTAGCATTTACTCTCAGATTAACGTCCACATGGATTAGGTTATGATATTTCAGAACTATTTAGCCCCATCTGGTGGGCAATGATTTATAAATCATCTTGCAGTACTTGCTGCCCCTTAGGTGTTTGTGGTGGAAGTTTTGCACACATTTTGGGCTCTTTGATGCTAAGAGATGACGACACCCTTTCTTTGTGTAATCTGAAGTGGAAAAAGTATGACCTGTCATGTTGTAGTATTAGTTTGTGTGTATGTTGACTTGACGTACAGCACACCAACTACGTACATTCAGGACCTTGGATAGCACCACACGGAAACCACTACCTAACCTAATGCTTTCATGCTTAACTTGTTGAAGTGCCTTATAAATAGCCTATCCACATCCCAATATATCTGATTATACTTTGACCTGAGAGTCAAACAGCTTTTCCTTCTAGAGTGTTATCAATGGTGCCAGTAGAGGGATTCTCCCTGCAGCTAACCATCTCGTGCTAACTGACCCTCACGACGGCTAGGATTAGTCAACTCAGGTTTCCAGGGCGACGTTTAAAATCGCTTTGTGTCTTGGAGCCTTAGTGACGTAGGTAGAGGAGGGACACCTCATCCATCTGGCCTGTTCAGAGGCTGCCTTCAGACACACTAGGTCCACACGTATCCCTCCTCCTCCTTCCTCCTCTCCCCCGGCCTCGTCTGGGATTAGCTCAGGATGTGTCTGCATCAAACGGCCGCTATTTTAACCCTGGCTACCTAGGTGGCACTGCCGTCGGATGTTTACCTCCAGTCATGTAAACAAGTTATGTGAGTGTTCTTACTAGAGGGAAGCCTTGGTTGAACTGGATTCAGCTATGTAATGAACTGTTATTGCAACCCAAATGGCACCCTATTCCTTATGTATGGGCTCCCGAGTGGCGCAGTGGTCTAAGGCACTGCATCTCAGTGCTTGAGGCGTCACTACAGACCTCCTGGTTCGATTCCAGGCTGTATCACAACCTGCCGTGATTGTGAGTCCCATAGGGCAGCGCACAATTGGCCCAGCGTCGTCTGGGTTTGGCCGGTGTAGGCCGTCATTGTAAATAAGAATTTGTTCTTAACTGACTTGCCTGGTAAAATAAATGTAGTGTATTACTTTTGACCAGGGCCCATAGGAATCTGTTCAAAGTGGTGCAATAGGGTGCCATTTGGGATGCAGTTAGGGTCTTGACTTTGCCCCTGACCTTCTAGACTACACCTAACCTCCCTTCTCAGGGTCTCAAACTGGATCTAACTACCTTTCTTGGAAGAGTTGTTTTGGTCAGTGTATGGGATTTATGACATCAAGTCATTTATCCAGAGCGACTTTCAGGAGCAATTAGGGTTAAGTTCCTTACTCGAGGGCACAGATCTTTCACCTAGTTGGCTCAGGGATTCAAACCAGAGACCTTTCGGTTACTGGCCTAACGTTCTTAACAACTAGGATACCGGTCACCTATGAAGTTGAACGTTTACACAATGCTGCAAACAAAATTCCCCCTAGGGGCCAATAGTCTTTATCTTATCTTTGGAGTAGTAGTATAAAGATAATTATCTCCCACACTGATAATGGGTTGATTGTTATCCAACCCACTATCACAGATTAGTGTGAAATAGACCAATAAGACAAGATATTATGTACTTGTACAGTATCTCATAACGATCCTGAGTTAGTCATTTTCAATCTATTGAAACATTACCACATAGACAGACCTAACATACTATGAGTTAATACACTATAAAGGGTTCAGACATGCTTATGAAAAGTAATCATTCATTATATTGCTAGTGTTGCCAGTGCTATTCCAATAAAATATGCTTTGTTATTTTTCTTTCTTGACAGCCTGATATGTTGACAAATTAGGATATTTTGACAAAAGGGGTTAAAGGTTACGTAGGTAGATCTGATGGCTTGTGTACTTTTCACTTTGCACTACTCTTCACTAAATATCCCATGCTGCCCCACTGTCTGACATCGTGCTGATCCAATTTAAGGATCTCTTCAGCTAGAATTAGCTTGTTTTGACCACCGTGCAAAGCACCACGGGAGGCCAGGTCTTATGCAGAGTAGTAAGTACCAGGGGTATAAAACACAACCCTCAGGCAAGTCTCCTCATAAGCACCTTTACAGAAGCTTACCACCAATTCGATCTATAGCTCAGAGCACTACCTCCGTTCACAGTTCACTACTCCCTACTCCCTACGAGTGACCAAAAGGCACTAGGAAACATGGTTCTTGAGGGGGATTCGGACATGGACTGTGTTGTGGCTGAGATTGAAACCTCTGTGAGTACTGTTGGATCTCTCTGTCTATAGTCTTGGCCTTGTTTACCTTCTTTAGCTTTTCGTCTGTTTATACCTTTGTGGGATTGAAATGAAGAGAATCTCAGACTGAGAAATATTGTGGATTAATGGTCCCTTGGAAGTAATATGCATCACAATCAGAAATCATGATGTGGGATTAGAACGATTTAAAGTCAGTGGATGTAATCTGATTACAACGTGTTGAGTATTGGAGAGAAAATGCATGGAGCTCAAAGTAAAAATAAATAAAAAATCTCAACACTCTACACTGCCATCTTCAGGGCTCACCACATGAGCTATAGTCTGTATTGGTGCGCTTGAACGGTGTTCTGGAATACCATTCTCTGCTAAGCATGGATACCTTGGTGCAGTTCAACTCTGTTTCGCTTAGGGTTTACCTTGTCCAGGTCGGGTAGAGTTCTTCAATAATGTTTATTTTTGCTATGGATAATATTTTCTTAGAAAGTTGATGGAGTTCTGTGGTACCCTATTTGCTAACTGTGGTTTATTCCATCTTTAGGAGCACGATGTAGAGACTCCCCATGGAAGAATCCACTGCACCATGAAGGGGGTGCCCAAAGGAGACCGGCCCGTCATCCTCACCTTCCATGACATTGGACTGAACCGTAAGCCCCATACGCTTCATTCATCCCATCATATTTAATGGATTTGATGTCACCCCCTAATGTGAGACTAAAGTCCCCATGCACTTTGGTAATACTGCCTTCAGCGTGAATGAGAACGTCTGTTTGTTGATTGTAACGGCTGGTCAACGACAGTTAATTTACTTAGCTTTATTGGCTAAATAAAGGTAAATGGAATAGATAAAAAATGATAATGAATAGATAACTCTAACGTTGAGAAGAAACACATAATGGTCACCGTGTTAGACATCTGACCTCATCACTAATATCTTGTACCTGCCCTCCATGTTGTTTCAGACAAGACGTGCTTTGACTCCATGTTCCAGCATGAGGACATGCAGGAGATCATGCAGCACTTTGCTGTGTGCCACGTCGATGCCCCTGGGCAGCACGAGGGGGCCAACACCTTCTCTACCGGGTGAGTACAGTCGCCTAGCCTCATCTCGCGTATTTTTTGTTTATTGGATAGTACTGAGGTAGAGAGGAAATACAGAGAGAATGGACCGGAATCGAAGCACACCTTGCCTCAGCACCAAATGTAGGTCAGCCTGCCTGTCTGTCTGCCAGCTTGTCCGTCTGCCACCCTTTGACCTCTGACCTTTAGAATCTGCTTCCTTTTGAAGGCCCTCGGATCAATTATATATATATTTTTTTTTTGAGTCGGGATCTCAATTTACTGTTGTGAGTTAGAATAGTAGAATAATCAAGGTAAATTTCTAAATTTGGTTGTACGTCAGCAGTTTTGCTCTTGTTGTGGGCTGGGTGGTAGCCTAGTGGTTAAGAGGTTGGGCCAGTAACTGAAAGGTTGCTGGTTTGAATCTCCGAGGTGACTAGGCGATGTCTGTCGATGTGCTCTTGAGCAAGGCACTTAACCCTAGTCGCTCTGGATAAGAGTGTCTGCTAAATGTTATGTCAGTCAATTAGCACGTCAGCACTTTTTTTTTTGATTGCTAAGTTAGTTTAGCGGCCAGCTATCTAAACTTGTTATCATGGTCAAATTTCCGGCCGGGGGGCCCCCGTTTCATCACTTGATAAATCGCTTGGTAGGCGAATATGGTTTGTTTTTACCTGAATGCTTTGACACTTCACTTGCTTCATTTTTATGGCTGTCTTGAGTCCATGCCACCATTGACCTGAATAGGAGAGATATTCAAAGTGAAAAACGGATAGTAGAATCCAGTAGAAGGCTGATGGAATGGAGATATGGAGGGCAGTGATAAGAAGCATTGTAAAGTGTTGATAATTGAAGTACTTTAACCCTGACGGTTGTTGTGTTCTCTCCAGGTACGAGTACCCCTCCATGGATCTGCTGTCTGAGTCCCTCCCCTTGGTCCTCAAGCATTTTGGGTAAGTCCAAAGAAGGGCTTTATACGATTTTCAAATTGATCAGATAATCTCATGATTAAATGTATTTCTCCTCATATGTTTGAACCCAGTCCATAGGGTTTATGCTGCTGAACCGTTCAGGATTCATATTCATAAAGCGTCTCAGATTAGGACTCCTGTTTCGCCTTTTAGATCAAAACGAATAAGACTGATCCTAGATCCATGCTCCTACTCTGAGATGCGTTATGAATACAGACCATGATGTCTTAGACCTGCATCCATTTTGGATCAGAAAAGAGATGATGATGATATTCTCTTTGTTTGTTTGTTAACCGCAGTCTGAAGAGCGTCATTGGAATGGCCGTCGGCGCTGGAGCCTACATCCTCGCAAGATTCGCTGTGAGTTTGACTTCCTCCTCCCTCCTTCCTTCTTTCCCCTTTCTATCGTGCTTAAGTTTGCTTCATTATGAAGAGTTTTAATCAAACCGGGATTAGAACTGAGACCAATGTTTCCAGTGATGCTATGCTGATTTTGGCAGTTCACTCCTGCTTATTGCTTTAGCCTGCTGCTGAGAGTCAGTGGAATGTTCTAGACCGGCTCCGCACCAAAACACCTAGCTCTGTGGGGACTCAGTCTCAATCTGCTGATACCCAGCTGATGGAGGAACACAAAGGATGTTTTAACTCATAACTGACCCATGTCTGACCTCTCTCTGTTATGAATCGTTGAGGTTTCAATGAGTATAGTGAATTAAATGGACCCCTTTGAGGTTTCAATGAGCACTTTAAAAAATATTTGACTGAATGTTTGTTTCTGTTTTTAGCTGGACTACCCCGCGTTGGTGGAAGGCCTGGTTCTGATTAATATCAACCCCTGTGCTGAGGGATGGATGGACTGGGCTGCAAACAAGGTACAATACAGGACCATCTCCTGAAGTCCACACAACCACAGATCCACAACAATCAATCAACTTTGATTTATAAAGCCCTTTTTACACTGTCAACAATTGTCACTAACAGTCACAAAACCACAAAAGTCCCAATCAGCTAGGCACATTCTCTACCCATTTCAACAGAGCATAACATGTATGTGTGTACAGCATATGATTGATCGTTGCTGTGACCCATGGAAAATATATCTGCTTTTGAATCTCTTTTCAGGTCACTCCTTTGCCTGAAATGCTCATCGGCCATCTCTTCGGAAAGGTGAGCAGTGAGCACCCAGATGGAGACAGTGATTGAAACTGCAAATCATGTCAACATAATCCCATTGAATCTAATTCTAATTGTTGGCTACGTAGATATAGAACAATTCACAGCAGGCTTACATGCTGCAGTACTGTGTCACTAGGCCACAGAGTCTGAGTGGGTGTTTATTTCTGTCTCTGTAGGAGGAAATCTCCAACAACCACGACCTTATCGCCACCTTCCGCCATCACATCATGAACGACATGAACCAGTACAACCTTCAACTCTTTGTCAAAGCTTACAACAGGTCAATAACATAGAATACCAGGAGCGTACGTTGACTTCTCAGCAGCATATATCTAATATACACTGAACTAAAAATATAAACGCAATGTGCAACGATTTCAAAGATTTTACTGAGTTACAGTTCATATAAGGAAATCAGTCAATTGAAATAAATGTAATAGGCCCTAATCTTTGGATTTCACAAAGGGAATATAGATATGTTGGTCACAGATACCTTTAAAAAAAAAAGTAGGGGTGTGGATCAGAAAACCAGTCAGTATCTGGTGTGACCACCATTTGCCTCATGCAGTGCGACACATCTCCTTTGCATAGAGTTGATCAGGCTGTTGATTGTGGCCTGTGGAATGTTGTCCCACTCTTCTTCAATGGCTGTGCGAAGTTGCTGGATATTGGCGGGAACTGGAACACGCTGTCTTACACATCGAACCAGAGCATCCCAAACATGCTCAATGGGTGACATGTCTGGTGGGTATGCAGGCCATGGAAGAACTGGGACGTTTTCATCTCCAAGAATTGTGTGCAGTTTGACAGTTTGTTCAGAAATTCTTCGGTTGTGCAAACCCACAGTTTGATCAGCTGTCCGGGTGGCTGGTTTCAGATGATCCCGCAGGTGAAGAAGCCGGATGTGGTGGTCCTGGGCTGGAGGTCCTGGGCGTTTGTGAGGAAGGTTGGACGTACTGCCAAATTCTCTAAAATGACATTGGAAGCGGCTTATGGTAGAGAAATGTATATTAAATTCTCTGGCAACAGCTCTGGTGGACATTCCCAAAACAAAGTGCACCTGTGTAATGATCATGCTGTTTAATCAGTTTCTTGATATGCCACACCTGTCAGGTGGATGGATTATCTTGACAAAGAAATGATCACTAACAGGGATGTAAACACATTTGTGCACAAAATTTGAGCTAAATAAGCTTTTTGTGCGTATGGAAAATTTCTGGGCTCTTTTATTTCAGCTCGTGAAACATGGGACCAACACTTTACATGTTACGTTTATATTTTTGTTCAGTACATATTTTATATACATACTCAAGTCTTCAAAGTCCTCCAGAGTACACTGAACACTGCCTATGAACATATATCTTATCTACGTATTTCTAATATATTCAATATATCTCATGTGTTATATATATATATATATATATATATATATATTACATGTTATATATTACATGTTATATTTGAAATAGTATATTTATGTTAATTTTGTGCCTCACTGATATCCCACCATTTCCCATCCCAGCCGGCGGGATCTGGAGATTGAGAGGCCCATTCCTGGTGGAAAAGTCACCGTCAGAACCCTGAAGTGAGTTCCAAACCCTCTTGACTTTAACCATACCTCAATCACCTCACATGGCATATTGCTAGAGCCCTGAGTTTTCCCTGACCTGGAAACTCTGGGCCCTAGTTATAGCCTGGTCAGGAGGTCACATGGTCGAGGAAAAACTCTTGGCCCTGTAATCGTCTAATCCAACAGGTTGAAATGTGTTCCAATTCCTGTTATTGTCCTCAGGTGTCCTTCTCTGTTGGTGGTAGGAGACAGCTCTCCGGCCGTTGACGCCGTGGTAAGTTCAAGTACACACTCTGTAATCCTAACTGTCATAAACAAATCATTAACAATAATGCCTCTGGTCCTCATTCCCGGTCCCTTGGTCCCTAGGAACATATGTTTATACGTTGAACATTCACCTAAATTAAAAGGAGATTTTTAAAGATTAACAAGGGAAGGTTAAAAATGTAGTTTATGATTCAAACATGGGACAAAATAGGGAAAAAAATCAAACACAACTAAAATAATTCTAGTAATTAAATATTACTCCCCCAATTCCTTTCATATTATTACCTAATTATTTCTCTACTATGGTAAATTAATGATATTTAGTCACTAAATTAGACTCTGTACTTTGCATCCACAGGTGGAGTGCAATACTAAGCTGGACCCGACAAGGACCACACTGCTGAAGGTGAGTGTTCTCGAACAATCTCCCTCGTGCTGCTCATAATAGATCTGATCATGGAAAGGCGGTCACTGATAAGCTTCCAGGAGCTCAGTAACTACCTGGTGACTGATTTACTAGCCTTGCCTGGGACCCCTCAGACCGCAGGCTGAGGCTACTGCTGCTCTACCCAGCCTCCAGGGTCCTGTTCATTAGGCACGTGATACTGTATAAAACATTTCTCAACAGAAAACGAAAATGTGCATTTCTTATTGCACCAATTCAAGCTAGAGTCCTCCCTGTTTGAGGTTGTTTACCTCTGTTTGGTTCCTGATGAACACGACCCATATCACAATCCTTCCTGCCTGACCTACTTAGGCCTACCTGTGATGTGCACGCCTCTGGCTGTGACCAAATGGGCTGTCCAGAGGCTAATGGAAATGGTCACTTGTTGTTCATGTTAAGGGTCACTTATTGTTAATGGTCACTTGTTGTTAATGGACAGGCACCATAGTCCAGCCACCCTAGTCATAGACTGTTCTCTCTGCTACCGCACAGCAAGCGGTACCGGAGCGCCAAGTTGAGGTCCAAAAGGCTTCTTAACAACTTCTACCCCCAAGCCATAAGACTCCTGAATAACTAATCAAATGGCTACCCGGACTATTTTCATTAAGCGGTGTCCCCGCACATTTACTCGGTCCCAGTACCCCCTGTATATAGCCTCGTTATTGTTATTTTATTGTTGCTCTTTTATTTTATATATATTTTTTACATTCATTTATTTGGTAAATATTTTCTTAACTCTATTTCTTGAACTGCATTGTTGGTTAAGAGCTTGTAAGTAACATTTCACAGTAAGGTCTACACCTGTTGAATTCGGCGCATGTGACAAATTCAATTTGATTTTATACTTGTTGTTAATGTTAATAGAACTTGTTGTTAATGTTAATAGAAAACTTGTTATTGTTAATATGAACTTCTTGTTAATGTTAATGGTAACTTCTTGTTAATGTTAATGGTAATTTCTTGTTAATGTTAATGGTAATTTCTTGTTAATGTTAATGGTCACTTGTTGTTAATGTTAATGATTACTTGTTAATGGTCACTTGTTGTTAATGTTAATGGTCGTATTGTTCATGGTCACTTGTTGTTAATGTTAATGGTCACTTGTTGTTAATGATAACTTTTTGTTAATGTTAATAGGAACTTGTTGTTAATGTTAATGGTACCTGTTGTTAATGTTGAGACAGTGTGAAATAAATGGGAGGTTGTTTTGTGTAATGAAGAGTCATGGCGGGTGACTAATGTCATACTGCTGGTGACGTGCTACCTTAACTCTGCCCTGTTGAATGACGCACCCCCATCAGGTGTTAACTGACTCCAATCTCATCACCTGTTTATTTTCTCCTCTCCTCCATCCAGATGGCTGATTGTGGAGGTCTCCCCATGGTTGACCAGGTGTGTTTAAAGCTTGTTAACACGTTCACGGAGGCCGGGCAGGTTGAGGTGGCCAGGGGATAACAGTTAGGGGGCTAATACAGAGCAGCTTCACTTAAGAGCATTAGTGATAGTAGCAATGAGGCATGAACGTCAGGCTGGAGAGTTAATACCCAGCTCCTTCTGCTACCACAGCTGTTATACATACGCCTCTCATTATCACAGTCTATAGGATAGGCCATGAATCTGTCAGTTGATCTGTCATTATGTGGATAATAACATGGAAACAAGTGGCTAACTTTCTCATTTGCTCTCTCGACAGCCTGCAAAGCTGACAGAGGCCTTCAAGTACTTCATTCAGGGAATGGGCTACAGTAAGTACACACTCCAACACACACTCTCTGTGTAACCAACACTGACCAGTAATTATAGTAACATTAGGTATGTAGAAACATAAAAGCCTGGTACCCTATTAGTGTTGCTGCCTACTAATAATATGGGTGTTCAAAACAAACCTGTAAGAATGACATTGCCTAGACCTAGTGGATGAGATTAGTAACTTCACCTTCAGATTACACATTTAGACAACAGGAAGTCCGTTACCTGTTCTATAATGATTAAAGATAATATATTACATAAAATGCCCTCAGTAGGAATTAAGCTGACCATGGACACAGGAGTGTGACTGGATAGTTAACCTTGTCTCTCCTCCTCTTCCTGTTCCCCCTGCCTCCTCCTCCTATGGCTCCTCCTCCTGTTCCCCCTGCCTCCTCCTCCTATGGCTCCTCCTCCTCTTCTCCCTGCCTCCTCCACCTCCTCCTATGGCTCCTCCTCCTGTTCCCCCTGCCGCCTCCTCCTATGGCTCCTCCTCCTGTTCCCCCTGCCTCCTCCACCTCCACCTCCTCCTATGGCTCCTCCTCCTGTTCCCCCTGCCTCCTCCACCTCCACCTCCTCCTATGGCTCCTCCTCCTGTTCCCCCTGCTTCCTCCTCCTATGGCTCCTCCTCTTCTCCCTGCCTCCTCCACCTCCTCCTATGGCTCCTCCTCCTGTTCCCCCTGCCGCCTCCTCCTATGGCTCCTCCTCCTGTTCCCCCTGCCTCCTCCACCTCCACCTCCTCCTATGGCTCCTCCTCCTGTTCCCCCTGCCTCCTCCACCTCCTCCTATGGCTCCTCCTCCTCTCCTCTTGCTCCTCCTCCTCTCCTCAGTGCCTGCTGCCAGCATGACCAGACTGGTCCGCTCTCGCACGGCGTCCGGATCCAGCATCCACTCAATGGACGGCAACAGGAGCCGGTCTCACACCAACGAGGGCAACCGAAGCCGGTCACACACCAACGAGAAGCGTGGCCGCTCCCACACGGACAGTATGGAAGGCACAGCGAACAGCACCGCGGCTCTCAAGTCCACCGAAGTGTCCTGCTAGACGACCCTTACCCTCGACCTTTAACCTCCGATCCCCTGCCCCCTGGTTCCTGCTGCGCTGCCACTAACTACACACACACACAGGATTCCATACCATTCAATGCAATTGGGATGCCTCCAATTAGAGAATGTTTTCTCTATGCCAAAGAGTTATGCAAAGAGGTTTTTTAGTAAGGATATGCAAGTACATACTACTGCATAATAAAGGAAATTCCGTAGAGAAAAAAAAAAAAAAAAAATAAACTGATCCCTTCCCATCTGCAGAGTCAGGTGGAATATCTAGGTGTTAGGGGCAACGCAGCCGAGCGACACCGCAACGGAGAATGTGGGAGAAAGCTGTGGCTGCAGAGCGACACAGCAACAGAGAATGTGGGAGAAAGCTGTGGCTCCAGAGCGACACCGCAACGGAGAAAGTAGGAGAAAGCTGTGGCTCCAGAGCGAGTACCTAGTATACCAGTTTGTACATTTTTCTTTTAAATCTCTCATTAGGAATTTTTTGTTTTGTAGTATTTTATCACATCTGACACAGTTTGCTTAAATGTGTACCTGACTGTAAATGAGTGTTTCTTTCTGTTCTCATTGTAATTGTTCATCATTAACTTTTCAATGTTATAATTGCTGTTCTGTGTGATATAGGAGAGGTTAATGTTAGGCCTAGATGTGGAGTAAGAATAGGGAGGAAAGTGGATAATTGTTTTTGCTCAAATTGCTGTTCGTCTTTGAAACCGTGGGAAGGAGGGAATCGGAAATGTATCATGTACATACAACACATTCCTGTAACCATTCCTCTGTTTAATGATGTTGTCCATTCATTTTGAGTTAACAGTCTCCTGGATGTTCTGTATATGTCAACTGTGGAATCAAACAATTGTAGCCGTTCTATTCTAGAACATTCCAAAATACGCTATCCTTTTCATTAATGAAACACAACAAAAACTAAATCAAACAGCTTTGCATCTTATTGCTTTATTAACAGATCATGGCTTCAGGCAAAAGTTTATATTTTTGATCTTATTTTTGTGTATGTAAATGATGTTTTCTATGCAATCAAGCACAGCAGAACAAAGATGATGTTGCCATGGAAACCTTCTCTGACTTAATAAAACTCCTTTGTTGTGATGGATTTGAGAGAGTCAAGCTGATAGATCCACATAATGTAATATGAGGATAGTTATCCATAGAACGTATCAGAAACCCTTTCCCACTCTTACTTGCACCAGTGCAACACTTTCCGGCTTTGTAGAACACAGGCTTACATCGCTTTGTAAAGACGCACAACTGCCTAATGCTGTAGACGAGAAGCATTAAATGGCATAACAGTTTGTATTTATTTTAAAAAAATAAAAACATAACTTTTTGTCCTGGTGTTGTGATTACTTCAATGATCGTTAAGTAGAATGTGACCTTGTAAGAATGATACCACAGTTCCACAGACGGATCTTTAACCATATCTACAGTATATGGTACATAGTATATGGTAGCATCTCACGCCATCTCTTACTCATTATTCAATTCAGAGCCACACGATCAAACCAATCTTTACATGAGTATGGACGAGATTTCGTGAAACTTGTTACTGTGAGTATAAAAAATACCTGTATAGCAAACTTTTAAAAATCATTTAGTATTGAATAAATTCAAACTAAAATATTTCACACAGTTGGTTTACTTGTAGCTAAGTCAATACGCTCATTCCCATAGCAACCCTATACAGACCATAAAGACATCCTGAAAAAAATCATCTGAAGTTTAAAACACTTTATTTTTTCTATAGGAAAAAAAGCATAAGAAATATCCCCTTGTAAGAAAAATACTTTGGCCGGGATTCAAATCCAATGGATTCAATCCAATGTGAGATATAGAGCAGCACACAATAACAGACTTTTAAAGGTAATTTACGCTTGAGCTGACAATCGGAGCATTTACCATGAATGCCATCTCCGCGAATGCAGTGAAAGTGCATTCAAATGGGCGGACTGTCTGCTGTATGTTCTGCACTATAACGCACCTTGGATTGAATACCAGCCTTTATGTATACAAACATCATATATAACAACGTTTCTGAAGTTCTGACAAAACAAAAACGGTTGAGGAAGGGAAAATAAAATAAAAATGTAGGCAGATGGAAGTTTAGGGCTCTAATCCGTATCGCCGAAGTTCAGCGTTACGGCGTGATTGAAATTTAAAGGCAATGTTCCCATGTTAGCAGAGACTGCATTCACGGTCAACGCTGCATATGTCGGCTCAATCAGAAATTACCTTTACATTTCTATCGCGGAATCTGTAACGCTTCAGCGATACAGATTGAATAGAGCCCTTAATAAGCTTAAGGCTTATTATTGAAATGTCTCAGTTCACGACCTCAGGGTAGCCATAGTAATTCTCCAGCTCGGCGAATATGTTGTTGGGGTTCCTGCAACTGAGGTTACAGAAGCAGGCGTTGATCCACATGACCTGCCAGGTGAACACGGCCCCGTTGGGACACACAAACTCCACGTAGATGGTCTTGGACTTGTAGGGAATGCAGCAGCGATCGTCCGTGGCCATGCAGACACCACAGTATTTAGGCCGGTAAGGCTGCTTACTGACACAGCCTGAGATGGTGAAGTTTTTTGGCTGCTCTTCTCTGTAGATGTTCAGACACTTCTTCCCTGGCTGAGAGAGATAAGAGAAAGAGGACGAGTTGAATGATTGAATCAATGCTATTGATCGTTTCTTTGTAATGTTCCTATAATCTTGGGAATGTTGTATTTTTCAATGTGAACTCTTCAATATAGATATCATGAACAAACATTTGACCTCTATGCAATGCATGCGTATGCATGTGTCCACGTGTGCGTGCATATTTGGGAGTGTACGTGTGTCTGTGTCCACGTGTGAGTGCATATTTGAGAGCGCATGTGTGTCTGTGTCCACGTGTGCATGCATATTTGAGCGTGCATGTGAGTCTGTGCACGTCAGTACCTTGATGTGCTTGGTGATGTCCACCTCACAGGGCCGTATGTTGCAGAGGCGGGACTCTTTCACCATCTCACACCTCTCGTTGGCGTTGGATACGCGCAGTGACAGACCTCGACCACATGTCTTAGAACAGATACTCCATGAAGTGGTCTGGATCACACAGTTCCTGCTCTGGCCCTGAGCCTCAGCAGGAAGAGCTATTTTGACAGAGAGAGAGAGAGAGAGAGAGAGAGAGAGAGAGAGAGAGAGAGAGAGAGAGAGAGAGAGAGAGAGAGAGAGAGAGATCGAGAGAGAGATAGAGAGATAGATAGAGAGATAGCGTAGAGAGAGATACGAGAGAGATAACTAACATGAACATGAGAGGCAAGAGGGAGAGATAATAACAATTGAATATGGGCAGTGATATAATTATTCATCAAAACTGGACCTAATAGCTTGTTGCCATGAGAAGTGCTTTTACCTTCAAGATTGATAGTTAAGTTGTGCAAGGGTGACAGGTCTCGTTGCTATTTTGTATTTTTAACCAAAACAAACATTCCCTAGTAAATCCAAGTTCTCTTTTGGCTTTGCACACTACTGGCCAGGATCGCTGAGCACTTGAACTACCCAAAAATAACACTGAGACACACAGAGCGGGAGAGAGAGAGAGCGTACAGGAAAAGGGCTTGGTCTTCCCTTACACAGCGCCACCTCTGGTCCTCCCTGGAGTAACAACCTAGTCCACCGCTGATATTGTTCCAAGAGCCCACACAACATACTGCTGCAACAGCAGTACTACCTGTGAGCTACTCTCAAGTCCTTAAACTATTTTGCTTCACAATTCACAAAGTAATACCCAATATGCACCTGTGTTATTATAGTGTTTTAAGATTCTCAATACATACAATGTCAACTGTATCAGACTGCAGTGGATGCTGGTGACGGGAGGACAGCTCATAGTAATGACTGGAATGGGATGGTATCATACTGTTCCATTCATTCCATTCCAGCTATTAGTAAGAGCATGTCCTCTCATTTAAAGTGACACCAGCCACCATTGATGATTGATTTATTAAATTATTGATTGTTGAGAGCTCTTACAAAACACATCCCTATGTACATATTATGATACTTTCAAAGGGCATAATAAAACATGAACTTAACCTTGATTGATTGATTGATTGATTGATTGATTGATGGATCTGTGTCCTACCCTCCACTGCATGTCTTGGAGCAGTCTTCCTCCCCTTCTTGGGCTCGTCACAGATCCACTGTTCACAGCAGCGTCCGGGGATCTTAACCCTCCTCGGGTTCTGGCACCACACCCGGGGAGGCTGGGAGTCTGTACACAGGGTCACGCACCCGATGGCCCCGTTCACACACAGACACTGGTATTTACAGCTGGGCTTGAAGCTCTGCCCATTCCGGTAGATCACACCGTCATGCTCACAGCCCGTACCAACCATATCTGTCAAAGAAGGTCAGGACAGCAGTCTTACATCACAGAGAGACACACAGTGAATAAGGTAACGATGACAAGGTAATGTAGCAGCTTTTGTTTTTAGTGATGTCTGAACAAAAACGAACATGTCATGACATCGGGTAATATGATTTCCTTTGATAATTGTTACTTTGTCATTGCATTTCTCATTTTCTTCGAGGATTACACTTTACTAGATGTGCAATTAGTGTGCTGGGATACGATCATAGCAGTGTTACTGTGACTTATAACTGGTGTCTTAAGTCATTGTCTTACGTCAGATAGCGGGTCGATTCCGCCTACACTCGGTTGAGGGACAAGTGTGGCGTAGGAGTGACGCGATCTGATGTAAGACAACAGTCTTCAGTAGGTTAGATTGACACTTACAGGCACACACTCCTTTTTCGTACCTAGGCTTGTCCGAGCTGTAGTCACAGTACAGTCCCTTATGGTAGTCACAGGCGTCTGCCTCGTTGCACCCCTCCCCCGCCTGCCTGGCGCAGGCCTTGCAGCAGTCACAGCCGTCCATGAGCAGGCTCACCCCTGGGGGGCAGGAGGGGAGGACCGGGGGGCACTCACAGGGCCAGTGGCAGTACTGGGTCCGGTTGTACGGCTCTAGGTCTGTGGGTTCTGCTAGGGGAAGCATTGCAGTGGAATTCTGGGTCTGGGAGTAGGCCTAGATGTGAGGGACAGAGAGGAGTTAGTGTCATGCACTTTGATACACTGTACATAATACATATTTTAGTTTGGTACGGTCAAACGCTATGACCTTGGGTAACACAATAAACCATGTAGGTAGAGAACAGACATCCCTAAAGCATCAAATATGTATGTTTTCTGAGTAGGCTACCATAGCTGGGACAATTAAAAACACTTCTTAGCATTGGGTTGAAGCAGCAACAGTTACAGGGGAATAATAGTCTGTTACATAAGCAGTATTAATTCACCCCAAGGAACAAAGTCATAATTAGCTTCATGTCCTTAATATTTTCATTTCCAACCTGTCCTAACTAACTCCCTGACGTAATAGACCCAAATCCCCTACAGGGCTAGATAAGTGTTGCACCTCCTGAATGTGCTAAAAGGTCGGCGCATGTGACAAATAAAGTTTAATTTGATTATTTTTAGGGCTGTCAGATTGTACAATTTAGTCATTTAGCAGACGCTCTTATCCAGAGCAATTAGGGTTAAGTGCCTTGCTCAAGGGCACATCGGCAGATTTTTCACCTAGTCGGCTCGGGGATTAGAACCAGCGACCTTTCAATTACTGGCACAACGCTCTTAACCACCTGCTGCCAATAACAGAAAGGTTGAATTACAGGGTAATGGAGAGACAATTACGTTTGAGTCATTTAGGCAACGCGTTTACCCAGGTCAATTAGGATGAATTGGCTTGCTCAAAGACACACTTAGTCAGCTTGGGGATTCGAACCAGTGACCTCTCAGTCCCTGGCCCAACGCTCTTAACCGCTAGGCTATCTGCCATTCCCCAGGTCTTGAGTTAGTATTCCTGTCCCATGGCCAAGGCTACATTTGAAAAAATTATTTCATCAATATGACGCAGGTTAGTCTAAGTAATGTTTGATCCCTGTCTACATATTATTCTGCCCATTTATCATATTGTTTCATTGAAAATATAAAAGTATATTCTCAGCTGAAGTGACAAAACAATTCCAATAAAATGTGTCCAACATTTCACCTCATGAATATTGCCTGAACAAACTGTATATATTCATGCCAAGATCATAAACAGAACATTTTTAAAGCACTCATAAACAGATGTGCTGTCTGAACAAGCCACCAGGGAGAGTTTTACAACCAAACAAATGGCGGTTGGTCTTGGATCCAGACTGTATAAGTCCCTTCAGAGGAAACTGGCCCGTCCGCTGGCTCAGACTGGCTACAAACATGATTCTTAGTCTAGGATCCAGACTGTATGAGCCCCTTCAGAGGAAACTGGCCCGTCCGCTGGCTCAGACTGGCTACGGGTGGAACAACACTGCTTAACAAACTTGTCTTGGAGATTCCCATACCGGTTACTGCAGGGTATAGTTCTCTATTAAACCTCTCTAATTAAATTTCAGCCTCAACATGTTTAATATCATAAAACCAAAGAGCTTCTAATCCAGGTAAATTATACACACACAATTAATCTCCAATTAATTAATTGTAAAAAAAATACACCTTAATCATGTTATAGGTTGCTCATATTTGTTCTCCTAAGCTTGTTCTTGGCAGCCCATCCGTTTCCTTTAGGGTTTTCTAATAGAAATCTGTTAATAAATAGTAAATTGATGACGTGCATAAGGGGTTTAATACAGATCAATGAGGTTTAATCCTGGGTGTAGCAGAGTGCCAGTATCCAAGTAGTTCTGCTGCTGAAGCCTAGTCAGCTGTCATCAGGCTCAGTCAATTACACAACAACAACCTCAGAGAACACGGATACGTCCCAAATGGCACTCTGTTCCCTATATAGTGCGCTACTTTTGACCAGAGCAGTATGGGCTCTGCTCAAAAGTAGTGCACTATACAGGGATTAGGGTGCCATTTGGGACTCACAACAAAATGTCACTTTACGCCTCACAGTGCGTTCTGTGGGTGTTTCTCAAGGGGATGAAACCAACATGGACCACAACAACAACTGATCATGACATTAACAGTTTGTCTTCTTCATGTAGCTTTCCTTCTTTAATCTAAAAAGGAAGAAAAAGTAGCGAGAGTACTCAATAATGTCATAATATACATATACATATGGCATAACAGGAAGTTAAACTGGGTTTTCTGATGGGATGAGAAGATTTGTGCATGTCGGTTTACATTCCATGTTTAGGGACATTAATGCATAGTTGCATCATTCCTAACCCCCATCATATCTAGGCAGCTGAAATTGGAATTGAGATGAACGTGAATACCATGACATGTTCAGAGTTATAACCTTTTGACCCTTTGTGTGACCTTTGTTTGACCTTGTGACCTTAAACAGACATATAACATAAAATGCTGTAAAGTGCTGAGACTGAAAAAGTGATCAATCAATTGTCAATTATCTTGATTGACTTCTAATGTGACCTTGACATTCCTGTCATATTGGTCAGAACACACTGAGTGTTCTACTGGTTTGACCTCTAACTCCTGCCAAGCCTGGGTGAAATGACCAATGGTGAGTCACACATGCAGCATGCTGTCAGGTTGAGAAAGTGCAAGCTGAATGCATTTTGATGGAGTGTGAGTGATATAACATAAGTTTGAGCCCAGCGAATCAGAGACGGTGTGAGCAGTTTTAACTTTTGAAGTCTATTGAGTTTCTTTTAAATATTTCAGGAGGACAATAAAAAATAAATGTTAATAAACCTTGCTGTTTGTTGAGGCCATGCTAATTACAGTATTTTCCAAGAACTTGTGGAATCTAGAGTAAAATGCAAAACGTGACTCCACATAGCCACAGGGTGGCAGTAAAGTACAACGAAGAATGGGATGAAAAAAAGGAATGCCTGGTGATTTTAGTGGAAACGTTCTACAGAATGATCTTCCCTGATTCTGAAGCCTAAAAGGTGACTAAGGAATTGCATATTGGTAGGCCAATCATTATTCAATATAGCTTTTTCATCGTTAGTGACTATGTTTATTTTCTAATTGGAAATTAGCAGTGGTGTAAAGTACTTAAGTAAAAATACTTTAAAGTACTACTTAAGTAGTTTGTTTTGCAGATCTGTACTTTACTATTTATATTTTTGATTACTTTTATTTTTACATCACTACATTCCTGACACTTTCTCTGACACCAAGAATTACTTGTTACATTTTGAGTGCTTAGCAGGACAGGAAAATTGTCCAATTCACAGTTATCAACAGAACATCCCTGGTCATCTCTACCGCCTCTGATCTGGCTGACTCACTAAACACAAATGTTTCGTTTGTAAATGATGTCTGAGTGATGGAGTGTGTCCCTGGCTGTAAGTAAATGAAAAAAACACATGAAATTGTGCCATCTGGTTTGCTTAATATAAGGAATTTGACATGATTTATACTTTTACTTTTGATACTTAAGTATATTTGAGCAATGGCATTTACCGTTTATACTTAAGTATATTTAAAACCAAATACTTTTAGACTTTTACTCAAGTAGTATTTTACCAGGTGACTTTCACTTTTACTTGAGTAATTTTATATTAAGGTATCTTTACTTCTACTCAAGTATGACAATTGAGTAAATTTTCCACCACTGGAAATTAGCACATTCAATGATTTAGGCCTAATAAATCATAAGAGTCGGGTCTGGTACTTCAGAAAGAAATATATTTGCTAAATAAGGTCCAAACCATGTGTTAATAAAACGTTTTATGATGACACTTTCTCACCTTTTGAATCCCAGCTGCTATAAGAATCCACATCAGGAGCCAGCTCATCACTGGTTAGGAATTTTAAATTCATTGAACCCAGAATTATTCCATTTCTAAAAACAAAATATTTTGCACTCCACAAGTCTCAGGCATTCTTCTAGTTGTCATCTCCTCCGCGAGGACCACTGTCTCGGACTGGGACTGGAGACGTTATTAAAGCGCGTGCTGCTGACGTCAGGTTTTAGGACGAGCCCCGCATTTTTCTAGCAGAGCACTCTGATTTTTTCCCCTCTCCTCCACTCTCACCCGCTGCTCCTCAGGCACGAAAGCTTGTCATGAATGAGGTGGCTTGTCTATAAGGGACAGTTCGACATATTGGGGGGGGGGTTCCAAAATAGGGGAGGATTGTCAAACTTTTTTTTCTTTGGGGAGGGTTATGTGTTTTTTTATTGGGCATAGTTTACGTTCCCCTTTTGCAGGTTTTACTATATAATTTATTCCATCCAACCTACATTTCCTGTGCTTGTGCCTCCCCTATATCAAGGTGTCTAGGCACTTCGCTTATGCACTATGCTTTTCCTTGTGCTAACTATAACACAGGTCAATGTAGTCTACCAGTCTAACTGCCCTCTATCCATCATTCATAGTGACAATAGTGGTAGGTGGATCGTTTGTCCAGATCTACAATATGCTAACTAGCAATCATACTACACATAAATTCATTCAAAGCCACACCAATTTTCATTATAAACGGAGAGGTCAGGTGCGTCATTGCTTACATTTACATTTACATTTTAGTCATTTAGCAGACGCTCTTATCCAGAGCGACTTACAGGAGCAATTAGGGTTAAGTGCCTTGCTCAAGGGCACATTTACGTCATTTAGCAGACGCTCTTATCCAGAGCGACTCACCAATTGGTGCGTTCACCCTATAGCCAGTGGGATAACCACTTTACAATTTTTTGGGGGGGGGGGGGGGGGGGGGGGGGGGTAGAAGGATTGCTCATGAAAGAACAGTGAAGACATGAGACACACAGCTCAAAAAGCTCCCCTATTCATCTTGTTTAGGGACAATACAATTATTGCAATGAATAATTGCATTATTGTTTTCAAGTGAATCCAAAATTCTACTGCAGTGAAAATCTCATTTGATTAACAATAACAGTGATTTGAATATTTCATTCCATTCATTCCATTTGGACCAGCTGTGGGTCTACTCTCGAAGTTTACAGTCTGGCTGTATTTTATGTTCTGATACTGAGAAGCGCTATTCTGTTGTGGATCATCATTCTCCCAAGTCGTCCTAAAATAATATTGCCACATACCATAATGTTGAAGTGCCTGAAATTGGATATGCTTTGCTTACTGGTTGTGGTGCATTGGCACAGATACCAGTTTGTGGAACATTATTTTTGAGTTGATTGTATGAGGGGGGAGTGTGTACAATTGTCTTTACAGAACAAGGACAAGTCGTGTGAATATATTTTTTACGTTGGAGAGGGGAATGACACTTCAAGTTGGAACAGCCCCCAATTCTGTGTAGCTGTATGACTAGGGAGGGATAGGCCTACAATCTCTAAAGAAGGGAGAAGTCGTTTATGATGTTTTCATTTGACCACCAAGGTGAGTTGAATTTCCCCTCAAAGTTAAGAATCTAACCTATGGGAATTCAATGAAACGTGTCAGGTTGAATACTTGTCTGGTTCACAGATGTTCAGTTCAGGAAGACAATGATGTCATCCACCATGTTCATCATGTCTTTATAACTCCTATTTTTAAATGTCTGGAATTAACGGGTTTTGATGTTAAATGACATTTTTTACATTGCCTTTGGTGTGGAAAATGTGTTAAGGAAACTGATTTATGTGAAAGTTGGTTATTTCTGAGACACAGAGTCACTTTAGGACAGACAGCTCACACTCTCCAACACAGGGAGTTCTCACTCCTGACCAATTGTGACTGTCTGCTGGTCTACACACTATGGAAAAACCTTGTTGTACTGAACCAAAGAAAGGCTTTGATTGGTGTATTATGGACATGTATAAAGCCAGAGAGAGCGAGAGAGCGAGAGAGAGAGAGAGAGAGAGAGAGAGAGAGAGAGAGAGAGAGAGAGAGAGAGAGAGAGAGAGAGAGAGAGAAGTCATGGAGAGAGAGAGAGAGAGAGAGAGAGAGAGAGCTTGTGTGAGAAGAACATAGTATCATGGGAGAGAGAGAGAGGAGAGAGAGAGAGAGAGAGAGAGAGAGAGAGAGAGAGAGAGAGGAGAGAGATAATAGTCATGGAGAAAGAGAAAGAGAAAGAGAAAGAATAGACCACAATGTCATGGAGCAATGTGTCACATGCCTGAAGCCCTATTATCATGATTTACCATCAGCATCCTAACCCCAGCACAGGACTGTCAGGCTCTGAGGGGATCTGAGAGGTGTTTCACACTTACCACGTCAACCTTACCCCTCAGAGCACACACACACACACACACACACACACACACACACACACACACACACACACACACACACACACACACCCACACACACACACACACACACACACACACACACACACACACACACACACACACACACACACACACCACACACACACCTTACCCCTCAGAGCACACACACACCTTACCCCTCAGAGCACACACACACACACACACACACGCACACACCTTACCCCTCAGAGCGCGCACACACACACACACACACACACACACACACACACACACACACACACACACACCTTACCCCTCAGAGCACACACATGCACACGCACACACATCTTGTCCTCTTCTCTGGCCCAGTAAACATTGTCACTATCCACTGCCAGAGGATAACACCAGGACTGAACAC